TTTTTTGGGGGAAGGTTACAAAATCAATCAAATTGACAAACTTTGATAGAGTTAGGGATAGAAATTTATTTAGGTGTTAGATTTGAGATTTTTGAGATGAAGAAAAGTATTTTTAATATGAATATGGAAATCACTTTACACTCGAACTAGTAAAAGAAATACTTTACATATTCACAGACAAATCTTTAGTAAAAATACTTCTTTAAAAATCTGTTGTTGTACAAAGGATTTGTAATGTTTACTAAATGTCTGGGAAATTTTGTGAAGATAGACAAAGTGTGTTAAGAACTATAGTATGGAAACTATCACGAGTATAAAATTGTTACAAGGTTGAGTGACCTTGTAGCAAGAGAGTTAAATAATTTGTTAGTTTGTAGTAGTTCTTTGTTAGGTCTGTTTTTGTTCTCAGTGTATTAAATGCTTTTATTAGGTAGAGATATCCCAATATCATATATTAACTTTTATTGTAAGCAAGATAAAACTTGTTGGCTTAAGAATGAATAACATGTCACTAGAGTTCACTCAAAATGACAAACACGGAGATCACAATGGTTTAAAACACATTGACTGGTAAATCAGTAGAAGAACATGTGACAATGACTTGCAATCATTAGATGTATAATATGTCATTGGAGTCCAACCAACATCATCACAACAGCTTAAAACACATCAACCAGTAAATCGGTAGAAAAACATTTGACAGTAATACAGACAATAAATGAATAACGTGTCACTGGATTTCACCCAACATCGCAATGTAACAGACATGGAAAACACAACAGCCTAAAACATATCAATTATTAAATCAGCAATTGACAATGACACAGTCAGTAGATGAATAACATGTGGAGTTCTTCCAACACCTTTGGTTAGAAACGTGGAAAACAAAAATAGCTTAAAATATACCAACCAATAAATCAGTATGTGACAATAACATAGTTTTAGATGGGGCTCTTTGTAAATAAGTAATTGTTTTGTTAATTCATGTGTAAAACTCATTTAATTTATTATTTTGATATAATTCCATTATATTATTGAAAATCTGAAATATAATAAACATATTAAAAAAAAGGATTTAGGTACTCTTTCATCAATGTCTCTGGATTTCTACCTGTCTCTTCTATTTAATTGTGCGTTAGTCTTCTGCAGTCTTCACGGACCCCAAATATTTTGTAAACATTGGTGCTGACAGATGGAAGCATGTACGTTTGTTGTTCTCAATAGCTTCATTATTCAGTTAGATTGTTACACTTAGTTTAGATGGTAAAAAAGAAACAAGTGGTAATATTCAATGTGCATTTATTGATTAATAAAGGAGATTTAGAGTATTAGTGTTTTTTGTTTACAAAATAATAATTATTATTTAAATATTTTTAAATTAATTTTTTTTATGATGGGGGTCTGCTCAGGCCCCAGAAGAGTAACTGTAAAATTTTGGCAGAAGACTAATGCAGGGTTAAAACTCAATACATTCATTACATTGATATCTGTAAACATATCCTGCACAAAAATCTAATTTGGCATAATCCTTTTGTTATGTATTACAATTTCAAATAGCCTAAAACTGAGTTAAATTGTAATTTAGTAGTTAAATAAATGCTGATATGCATCCAATTTATGATATTTGCCAACAAAATTGATACACAAAGTTTTCTTTTTTCTTAATACAAATATATTTTAATATACAAACAATAATTTATCTACAAAAGTTTTACAAACTTACAAACAATACACATATTGTTGATTCTTACACTCTAGAAGCTTCTAGAACTTTAGAGAATAGACGGGAGTTTTACAATACATACTTAACAGAATAAGTTTTGTACATTTCTAAATATAAATTTAATTTTAACAAACATGGATATTAAAATAAATATATAATAATAAATCCATCATACTCTGAATAATAGGCAAAAGCAGGGGCCTGGGCTCTCCCAATAACATTGTACCTACAGACTTGGTCATTTTGAGCGTAATGCTGTTTATTTCTATGCATATGATGTACGTGCATGTGTTGATATGGTTTATACATATATATATATATATATATATAAATGTTTGGGTGTTTAACGTGTCCCAACAATAGTGGCCAAATTTAACTTCATGCGCATGTCCTGAGCAAAAGAGATTTACTTGACTTTGAAATAGATTAATATTAACAAAATGTTTGTAGGGGTTGGTCCATTGGACTTACTCTGTATTGGAGAAGGAATGTTGACTAAAATTCGAATTTATTACATGTATGTACATGAATGTGACAAATTTTTAGTTAGATGTACAAAAAAAAATCAAATTTGTTACAAAGATATCTGTACTCAAGATATATCTGTGAATTGCCAACATCAGTGTGACTTGGACAATGACAAGTTGAAGTGGAAGGTCATACTCACGTGAAGAATGAAAATAATTTTGTCCATTTTACAGTTTATGTATTGCATTTGAATAACCTCTAGAACCTCCAAAATGTATATCCACAGTTTTTTCAGTTTCCCTATATCTGTCTGGTATTTACTCTCCTCTACCTCAAACGGTAGCTAAATCAGCAGTGTAGGGTAAAAAGAATAGTTCATATCTCTGACATCAAATACATAATACCATGTTGAATAGTACTTAGTGAAAGGTCATGGCCTGTGCACTTAGACTCCCAGCCATGCACATCAGGTTAATATTGAACTGTTTTATTACGGAGCTCCAAATTCCCTTAACTGCACTTGTTTATCTTGCCACAAACAGTAAACTATGAAACAAAGCCATAGAGATTTTATATTGTTTTTAAGAGTTTAAAAACTCCAATTGACTTGCTGACAACTGGTTTGAACAATTGTTGAGTTAAGTCAAGTTTATTTGTTTCAGTTTCTAACCTTAATTTAGACTCATTACTGCATTTAGCTACCTTGTTCAAAAGTGTAGTGACAAAAACCAACTTATATGAAAAATTTCCAGGGATTGATTGACAACTAAGATGAAGTCCCTTTTGTATTGGTTTATAATAGACCTTGGTTTCAAATCCATATTGATGTTTTTAGCACTGAAACATCTTCCATACTGAATAGAATTTTAGGACATATCTAGTTATATGTTCAAAGAAAATCGGAATTCTCATTGTTACATGCCCCATTAAAGTGCTGTTCACATAGCTAATACACTGAAGCACAGAATAAGATTTTAATGTATTTAATAGTTAAGTTTAGCTATGAAAAGATTAGATGAAACTGGTGCTAATACTGTTGGTTTAATCAAGTTTTTGTTATTAAACTGAGCATTAGTATAAATGATAGCATATTCAAAGAGTTGTAACAATTTCTTTGATTTCATGTGACACCAAAGATTATCTTCACATCTAAATGATTAAAAAGTATATTCATTTCATGGCTGGCACTTGCTTAAACAGTAAATAAATGTCACGAATCATCTTGACAATTACAGAATTAAAAAAAAATGAAAAAATGATACCAGAACAAACTCATCATGTATAAAAAGAACTAAAATATTTACTAGAAATTTTCTTAATTATAGTTATAAGTTCCTTGGAAGTACAAGTCTTAAAGAGAAACTTCTTTATGAATTTTAAAGGAATGATAGAGTTCTTGAAACTAGTCTTCACAAAGCTAATTTTATCTTTTAATTCTGTATATATGTTTGTTTTAATAAGAATTTAGTTAATCTCTCTCTCTCTATATATATATATATTTTTCTTTTTGTTACATTGTTGTCTAGTATTTTAATATGGTTTATAGCACTACTCAAGAAATTTAAAGCATTTAACATAATCATGTTTACCCAAAACTACCAGTGTTTCCTTTATTTGCTTTGACGCATTTGCCACTGCAGCAATTTTAACCCATGCGCTAAGTCACATTCATTATTGCTGAGGTGCCAAAACTTTAGCAACAATTCAAAACGACCCTGTGGCATAGCAGTATTGGCAAGCAAAGTAGCCAGCACTGGAACATTTGACGAGTAATCCTCTTTCAATTGTTTCTATACAATGTCCATGACAAAAAGAATGCCAAGAAAATTTCTCATTTCAGATGCATCAGTTTCAAAATACCAATGCATTCTGCTTTTAGACTTGAGGTGGTTCAATTCCAAGAACTGTACAGTAAGCCTATTTGTTTCAGTGACCATCATATTCACATCTTCCATCAGAAACAGTTTGAAAATTTCAAATGGAATGGCAAACCTGCAATCATTTGATGCTGTATAGTGAAAGAAATATCAGTTCGACTAACATATGTAACCTGGATAGTCTGCCATCCATCAACTGATGCTGGTATTCCAGTGTCACTGTTGGTATCTGGATTCGTAGTGTCAGCTTGAACATTTACCTGCTCAGTACAATCCAGGCCTCTTATACCATCAGACTCAGAATCACTAGGCTTATAATTACTATCCCCATCTGCACCATCCTCCTCAAATGATCCTGAATCAGATTCTTCTAAAATACTAGTAATTTCACTCAGACTAAAATGTTTGCACAACCCTCCCATCTTGTAGCTATAAAGGTAACCAAAACAAACCACTGCAGAAATCTTGGGCCAAGTGACATGAAACTTAAGTGAAAGAAATATTTCTGTCATTCACAAGAGAGCAGGACACCCATAATCATTGTACAGCACTAAGGGACTGTTTATCTATATGCTCACGTAATTATAGCCCCTTTGCTGATTGACGTTTTAGTTGCACCTGAATAATAGAAATGATTGATATGTTATCGTGTCATCAGCATCGAATGCGCAACTAAGAACCACTTCCTTTACATTTATGTATTAAATATTATAATTATTGATTTGACTTTAATTTCAAAATAACTTTAAGCATGGTACACTTAAATGGTGAATGTTGATGTGAAAAACCTACTTTCTTGTCGTGGAATCATTAGAGTGTAAATATTTTGAAGCAGTTAATTTTAAATGTGTTTGTAAACAAGTTAATGTTTAACATAATAGTTAATGAAGTATTATAATAATAAACAATTTCTAATGTTTGCTTCTTTTCAGGAAAGAATTATATCACATGCATCATCATGAATGAAGTCTTCCATAGTTTGTGTTAACATTAACATCTACTTTTATTGTCCAGTAGATGTAACATACCTATATTTTTAAGTTATGATATTATATTATGTCTTTTTTTGAGAAACCTGAAAATCTGAAACATTTTTATGAGAGTTTTGTACTTAGCTTGTTTTAAGGTGCCTTATGCTGTACGATGAAGTTCATCAAACTAAGTTAAAAACGATAGAAATTGTTTTTTTGAAGTAATTAGTTCAGAGAAAGTAAATTGATTTCTTTTATCCTAATGTTTTTGAATCTAGTGTTGAGTAAATACTGAAGTAGTTAGATCATAAAAAAAACTGTCAAATATTAATTCATGTACCATATGCTACTAGATAACCTTGTATGTATTACAAAATTATATCATTACAGCTACAAGTATTAAAATAATGTCCTGGAATTTAGTGTAGGTAATATTTTGTTTGATTTTGATGCAAAAAACAACAAACTTCTAAATTAAGAAACTTAACTGTATAACTACAGTTACCATAATTATCAAGAGCCAAAAACAAAATATACACTAATAACTACTGCATATCCTCTTTCTTGTACGTATTTGAAACATTCTCTATAAAAGATGGTAACTTTCACAATATAGTAAGAGATGACTTTTTTCAAATATTACCAAGACTTTCTGGTGTCAAAAAAAAACAACCCTACTGTCACTGGCATTTGAAATGCAATTGCTTATAAACTTTTTTTTTTCAAGTGGCTATTAGTAGCATACTACTATATTTGGTACCTGTCATATTTGTTCACAAATTTACTGTAGCTTGTTTCACTGTTGTTGTTTTTTCACTTAGTTAGCTTGAATATTTGTACTCATGTTAAGTACATGTTGGACTTACTATAAATTGTTTTAAGAAGACAGTCATATTTGTTGTATCATATACTTTTGTGATTATTATTTATGATGTGCATTATAAACATTGTTACGTTAGAAAAATAAGTTATATTCAAATCACAGTAGAGGTCTAGAAATGTTTAATTTGCAGTATCTCTTATAGCTTGAACAAAACAAAAAATTATGGGCAAGTTTTTTATTGGTATTTGTTGTGTAAAATGGAAAAAAAAAACAGTTTACATGAATTGTTATTTCATAAATGTGTTCATTTTATTGGTGGTGTCTATATGGTCTGACTAGTAGTGATGAAAAGTTTAAAAATTTAGGGGATAAAATAAGTAAAATGATCTGGAGTGAATGTGATTTTTCTCTGTTTTTTTAATTATTTCAAAAAGAATACACTGATTTTAAAATTTACTGTTTAAAAGAAAATAGCATGGAGAAGATATATGACATCTGGACAAGAAATTAACTTCAAATTATATGTTTCAATAATGTGTAACAGTAAATAAGCAGTCAGAAATAAAACATGTTAAGTACAAAATTGACACTGAGTGTAATATGTGAGATAAGAGAATGTAGCAAAATTTCCTTCACACATGTACAGACACACAACTTTTATTTGTCAATCAAATGTACAAAAGAATCCCTTTTCCATTGACCTAGAATTACTCTGAATGTTCTTATATAATTACAGACATGATACATTTACTTTCTAACTTTTCCAACTATGTACACAATCAAAAGAAGAAAAATCTCTATAAATATTTGAACTAAAACATTTTCAAAATGGTAGTGAAGCTTAGCAACAAAAGGCATACTGCTACAAGGAGTTAACACACAACTTTTAACTCTGTCAAGCTTGCTCATAATATCTTACATAACCTCAAAATATCAATAACTTTATTCTAGAAAACAACCTGTGATATTACTTATGTTTCTCCTCCTTAACAACTGTTATCATTGGTGATACTGTCTAATTATTGTATTTTGTGACTTAACAAAATCAAAACTGTCCATTGGACCTTGGGCATAACAATTCATACAGAATTAACAATATTTCTGTCATATTGGATTTTCACTTTGTTTTTAATGACTGTAGTATTGATAGAAAATAATTTGAAAACTGGTGACAAAACCTGTATTCCTTAAACCCAAAAGGTTGAGTATTTATCAGTATCTACTGATATTAGAGTGAATAAGTGTTCTATTTAGTAGGTTTTACAACTAGTATATATACTAACACAACCATAAGGAACCATGAAAACATCACTAGTTCAGTGGTGTTAAAGAAGATATCTAATAATTATCAACAGTGAAATAAGTATTCATATGTCAAATCTCTGTAAAATTATCTGTACTAACCAGCATCTGAAAACTTGTGTAAGAAGCCTGTTTTAGAGTTTATTATATTCTTTATGCTAAACTTCTGTTCCTGTTCAGTACCAAAGATTAAAAGGGTAGAAGTAAATGACAATATTTCCTGAGAAACAAACTAATGCCTGTGAAAGTAATATATTTTCTTCACCTTGATTTTTATATGTAAAGGCAGGTAGATTATATTATTCTCTTACATCCTATTTGTATTAAATGTTCCATTATTTCTACTTAATTTAAAAGAATCCAAAAAGACTTCAAGCTTTTTTTTTTTTTTACCTGTCATCCTCCATCACATTTGTCAGCTATCTTGGGGTGAATTAGGCACAGAAACATGATTCATTATTAACAATACCTCAAAATGTTCTCTAAAACAAGAAATCTTGAATATTAAATAAGTAATATACAAAACACCAATGTTAACTTGACTTTGTAGCAAGAGTGACATAAGTATTATTAACTATTTTGGGAAAGAACACAGCCATGGAGTAAGTAAGTTTCAAATCAGTGTTTCGTACTTTAAAAAAAAAACCTTTCATCATTTGCAAGAATTTCCTTTGTATAGCATTAATTACAATGCAATGTAACTATTTAAATGAAAAATTGTATCTGATGTTAAGAATAACCCATAACACAGCCATTCTTTAACTTTGAATGTTAATTTTAAATGAATAATTATGAACAATTATTATAACAAACAAAAATGCTGTAATGGAAATAGCTGCCACAAATATGAAGCCTAAAGAAAAATAATTATGAACTACATAAATAAGCCTGGTAGATGATTAAACTAGATAATACACTATTCACCCCATTCAGCACTCCAGGTGTTTAGAAAATTAGCAGAACTGTCCAAAAGTTGTACACCAGTTATTTTACACCAAGTAATACTGGCACTAAAACATGATATTCCAAAAACATGTTCTTCATTGATTTATTTCTCAATATTTTGGTATGCTATACTACAACATCCTGATGTAGACAATTAATTCATCATGTTTCAAGGACTAAGTTTTCACTATTAATGACACAGTACTATTGAGATACTGGTTCTATTGAAATAAAAGACTTAAAATTCTGCATTACGTAAAATGTTTCTTTAAACATCATGAAATAGTTGGTAGTTAAGGATAAATTACAGGCATCTCCAATCGTGACCCAAGCTCTTGCAGCCAACTAGGATTTGTAATTTCCCAGAAAAGTGGGGGGTGGGTGCTTTAAAGGAGGAACTACAGTATACTATTTTTAATGTATAGAGCCCATAAGCTCAGTCTTATTTACCAATAGTACTATTGCTCATGTTTCACGGGAATTATAATTAAGTCTATGCTATTTTGAAATCCAATAATGCACTGAACTTTACATGTGACTGAACAATAAGTTCAAATTTCTGTCAAAACAATTCCAAATAAAGTTATAATTTAACAAACAAAACACAATTCTCTAGAATATGAAAACTTGCATAGAAATATGTTTGTTAAAACACACTTTCCTTCATGAGAAACCTTATGACTAGATGTGTTTATGTTAAAATAATGTAATTTGAAAGATATATAACACTGTTCTTCTTCTGTAGACCTCATGTTTCCATCCTTATTTAACATTTTCTAAAGAAAGTATCACCAGTCCTGCTGGTTTTGAACTTTATTCTCTCCACAAAAAAATGATGTGCATTTTCAGTCAGGAGACTTTCCTTGGGAAGAATCATTGCCAGTTATTGTTAGGTAACTTGGTGAAAACAGCTGGTATCTACGTTGTCTGTTAGTAAAAAACAAAACATAAAACTAAGTGTAACATATAAAAGAATCAATTGTAGCAACATCTAAAGCCTTCTTTTGAAAACTTGTGTTTATACAAGTCTGAAATTCAAACATGAAAAGTAACCATTCAGTTCGTTGCTTAGTTCTGAAACTTTGTTTCAGTGAAATCCCAAAATTTCTTTATAGTTCTTGCCAAATTTCAATTTTTAAATTAAAACAGTAAAAAAAAAAATCATTGTAATAGTACTAAAACAGAAAATTGCTTACAACTTTCTACTACTAACCTTGCTAGAACGCAGTTATTTTGGGGAGGATCTCCTGGTAGGGGTGTAGGACCTCTAGTAACAGCATTTTGGATATCTGTATTTTTGGATGACTGCTCCATCTTATCTATGTGACTTTGTAGAAGCTTGTTTGAGGTTTGGTGACTATCTGATAAACTCTCTTCATAAAGTTGCCTGTTGGGTTCTGAAAACAGTTGTCGCCCTTTTCGTACTGGAATGCGAGATTCTTCACAAATTGTAACAGGACGATGTCGTCTTCGTTGAAAGTTCAAATTCAGTTCTGTTTCATCTTTAATATACTTGTCATCAGAGGTCTCTCTGCGACGTCTTACCACAGGGCCTTCTTCATCTATATCTTGTTGATCAGAACTCTTGTATTTGTCACCAACTTCACAATTTTGTACATGTCTTAATTCCTCTCTTGTTGTCCCTTGTTTGTAAGGCTGGGATCTCATGTTTTTTTGTTCTGTTTTAGAGACTCTATCACATGCTATAGTAGTGTTAGTTATGCCTGATGGACTTTCAGATAAACGTTTTAAGGAGAGGTAATTGTTTAATTCATCACTTACATATTCATAAGCTTGATTATTGCACTTCTCAGTTCCATCTCTAAAATTAGTCTCAGTCATTGACTTTGGTCGTCTCTGTTCTCTGCCAGTCACTTGAGGCTTTTGATAAACTTGAAAGGGTGCTTGAGAACCTTCAGATGTTGTAGAGAGATTTGTATCCTTCTGTGAATCAAGCAGACAAACAGGAATATGAGAAAGATGGTTTTCTTGGGAACTCCCTAATGAAAGTTTTTGAGTTATAAATTCCTGGTTACTTGATCTAATAATGTTTTCTTTGGCAGAAGAAACATAGTCACAGGAATGGTTAAACCTATTTTCCTTATTTTCAATTAATGATTTTTTATATCCTGAGCAGTGTTTCTGTAAATATTTCATCTCTTTTTGTAGCCCCAGTTCAGAAATTTGTGGTTCTAGAACACTGCACTGCTGTAAGCCATGGATTTTTTCAGGTTCATTCTTAGCATTAGGAAGAGAAGTGTCTCTGTTTATATCAGTAGGAGTATTTGCAACATAAGAACTTTTTACTCCCAACAAGTGGAACGCTTCTGGCAGTTCACTCAGACTTATCACTGAAATCTTTTTCTGTGGTACAGAATGAAATGGAATCTGATCTTTTGCTAGTGTGCCAAATTTCTCCTTAGAAATTTCTTTAGGCTCTTCCCACGATGGAACATTAACCACTTTTCCTCTGGAGCTCTTGTTTGATTTTTCCTTGGTTATAACTTTTTTTCCATTAATTTGCAGCATGTGAAAGGATTTATCTTCTTTTTGTAAAGGTGCATCAAAGTAAACAGAAGGCTCTACTGCTTGCCCTTTTTCTTTATCATTCTCTTGAATCTCTCTTTTCTGATCAGTTTGTGATGTTAGCTCAAATTTTCTGATGTTTTGAACCATTTCTTCTTTACAACTATCTCGAGAAATAGATCTTTCTAGGCCAGGTTTCTTAAGAATTCCCTTGGAAGGAAAAACATTTAATTTCTGAACAATTTTATCTTTTTCATTTTTGGAATCATAAAGATTTTGCCAATTATCAATTTTCTGTATATTCCATTTAAATTCTTCTTTCTGGTTTTCCACATTTTCATTTGAAGACACAACTTTTCCTTTCATGCCTTCTACTCTCTGTCCTTTTTCTTCTTCACAAGAATTGAGATGAATAAATGGCAGTGAAGCTCTTCTGTCTCCATTGTTTTCATGACAACTTTCATCAGGCAACTGTTTAGCAACTACATTTCTCATAACATCAACTTCATAAACGTTCTCATCAAATGATGCTTGTTGCTTCAGAGGAGGCTGAAGATTAGAACGAATATGGAAACAAAATGAAGGGCAACTCCAAACTCGTGGCAGACCAAGAGGAACTGGTCCAGGAAAGTGAAGGCCTCCTAAACTTACATATTGATAATATGTACCATCAACAGAAATGCCTGGAGGAAGCCTACTAGGATGTGAAAGGGAACGTTGTATTGGTCTTTTTCGTTCTTGTGATTTACAATCACCAGACTCCTGTTGTGATTGGTCTGTTGGTTGGTAAGATAACTGTCTGTCTATGGGTCTCCTTCTTTCTCTTGGTTTACAGGCTTCAAATTTCAGTTTTAGCTGATCTGTTTGTACAGTTGAAGCTTTATTTTCTAAAACTTTCATCTTGTCCGTTTCTTTTGTTTTAAGTTTGTTGGATTCCAACTGACTGCCAGTTTTTCTTTCCTCTGTAGAGGAACTTATATTATGTGGTCTTCCATTTTCAATAAAGGCTGAGGATACCTTCTTCTGAAGTGAGGTACCTGAAGAATCTCGTTTAATAGACCTATGTTCTGGTGAAGTTACTTGAACATTATCTTCCATTTCATTATCCGTTTCTTCGCTGTCATCAAAGGACACCTGCCACTTTGAAACAAGAGTCATGGCAGCTGTTGCACCTTTTGTGACCTGCTGCAGAGCTGATATGTTGTCATCTTCTGCTACAGCAAACTGAGTAAAGGAGGAATCTCTGCATCGAAACCTGCTACCTGAGTGGTGTTGTCGATGTTGTGGCTCTTGCTGAGTTTCTTCTTTAATATCTTGTGTTATTTGGGAGTTGACTGTTGGAGTGTATTTGCTCATTTTATCCTGTGTTGTTACAACTTTTTGAATATTATGAGCACTATTATCTTGCTGATTGATCTTACTATCACGTGTTTGGATGCTGTCCCTCTGCAGTTCTGGTTGCTCATTGATGAATTCATGTTCCTGAATAGGACCAATCTGAAGCTTGGGTAGGTCTTTTCGTGACCGTGAATATATTCTAGAGCTAGGCCTCTCCTCTCTCTGCTCTTCATTGACTGTATGAGAATCTCGCTGATAGTGTAAAGAATCCCTCTCATCTCCTGCTTTAATGTTTTGTACCTTATCCATTTCACCATCTATCCTCTGTAAAGAAACAAACAAAAACATGTTGGCGTATTGAATTTTTAAGCAGTTGATTTATTATTTCCACATTTCAAAGGAAAGTTAATTTGCTTTTCATCTTTTTGAAATGTTAATTTTTATATTACATTCAGTATTTATATTGAATATTTTTACCTTTTAGATAACAAAGAGACAATAATTTAATTATTTCTTCTTTCAAAAAACAAATGGTGCTACTAACTTACTTCTTTTAATGGTTTATCCATCTTTACATTAGCTTCAAGTTCTTTATCATTAATGTTGTTGTTCTTGGTTGATGCTGCGGGTCGTACAATTGCCACATGACAAAGATTGTCAGGAACAACACTTTTATTGTTTGGAGAAGGAGATACAAAAACTTGAACCTTCTGATTTTGTAACATATTTCTGACTCTGCTGGTACCATGGTAACCATCTTGTCTGTAGTTCTCGGCATGATCTTCATAACTGACTATGATGTTGTCTTCCAGCATGTGATCTGTTTCATGATTTCCAGGTGAGGCATTCCTACACAAAAGAAACAACAATTTTTAATATCTGGACATTTAATAGATGACCAATTCAAGAGCACATCTCTAAAATGTTTTTCCCTTTTTAGGATGAAACTTGATCATAAGTCCATATTAAATTGAATATGTATGCTAAATATCGAACAAAAATATGTAAAGAAGATTCTCTACAGAAAATGTAATTACAGTAAATATTCAGGTGTCACAACTCTTACAGTATATGTTTAGACTATTCTATAACATAATCTGTAGTAAACATTTAATTAAAAACCCAACAAAGAATATTTTAGCAAATGAGATAATGTCTACAGATAACTACTTATTAAATATTTGTATTGTTCTCACCAAAGTTCTCTTGATAAGTACTCAACCCAACTTAGAATATTTCTAAGAAAATAATGAGACCAACCAGTCACTAAAAACACCACAGTTAGAAATAAATAGATGGCCCTTTGCATGCTCACTTCTTACATATTAAGTAACTTCTACAAATATTTTAGTAGTTATCAGGATCAAAATCACTACACAAGAAACATTAGAAGGAATAATACCTTGTACAACAGAAATTATACATAAGAGTTTCAAGTTGAGAATTTTTATATAAATTTTGTGTATTTCTTCTATGTCTGTGGCTAAGTTTTTAGCCCTTTGTTTTATTGCAGGCATTTCTTTAAAGTATACATTATTATTTTCATACACTGAAAATATATTTCCAATAGGTATTTACCCCTTCTCACATA